GGAGGACAAGCGGACAGGGGAGTGGGGGAGGACGGGGGGACGGGGGAGGCTAGTGTACACACACACATTATATATACATACATATATATATATATATATATATATATATATATATATATATATATATATATATATATATATATATATATATATATACATATATATATATAATATCTCAAGCACTCCCAACAAGCACTCCCATATATATATGGGAGTGCTTGATGGTAATATTCTGGGTGGACTGAAGCCAGCTGGGAAGCTAGATGTGAAATCAGGTGAGTGTGTGGCAGGTGTGGTAAGGGCAGCAGCCAGGAAGGGTTGGGGTGAGAAGCAGGGTGATGGAGGGGTAGGGGGCAGCGTCATCGACCGGACCACTGAAATATACAACTCTGCAATTGGATTTTCGAAACAGTTGTTATCACCATTTTCCCTCTCGTCGATAGTGACTCTGCAACACGCTGCAAATGAGGCCTATAAAATCAAGCACCATCCAGAATTATCGGCATCATTTCCCATGATGTTAATCATTCTCTCTCGCTGATATTATAGTTGTAAATCCCAGACCTACATTTAGATTACACCATCAAGCGGTGTCCATGTGAATTAAACGCTCTCTTTTCAATCAGCCATTTGTAGTAATTGTTTGTAAGCGTCACGATACCAGCCATTCCAAGTCCTTATAATTATTTTTTACCGTTTTCAATTACATGTAACTCTGCATGTTATTTACATATACTAATGGAATGCAACCAAGGTTCGGAAAAATACTTTGTGCAAACGTTCAGAGCATTTAGGATGTGTTATTCAGCCTCCGGCACTATAAACACGGATATCCAGTGAGCGTGTTGGGGATTACGATAACAGGAATCTCGATTCTAATGTATAACTAGGATCTGTAACTCTAACGAAGACTTGTAACTAATGTATAATGAGGGTCTGTATCTTATGCTTAACGAAGACCTGCAACTAATGTATAACAAAGACCTTTAACTAATGAATCACGAGAACCTGTAACTAATGAATCACGAGGACCTGTAACTAATGAATCACGAGGACCTGTAAATAATGTATAACGAGGACCTGTAATTAGTGCCATTATTTTAAATATATATGTACAAGACATACTTCCTTTCACAACAGGAAAATTCAAAGGCAAGATTCACATCAAAAGAAAAATCAAGTTAATTCTCAAAAGTTCAATGTAATCTCATAAAATGATCTAATAAGATCGAGCATCGCTGCAAGCTTTGCGCTCAAACCAATCTTGGTCCAATGAAATTACTGAATTCCCAACATAATTTTATATGTAAATTATTATTAACATAATTATTGACATTAACATTATAAACATAATTGTATATGTAAATTTAGTGTTAGCTTCAACCACTTCTTCATCTAATTCATACCACTTAATGACGGAACTAGCACTGAAGACGTTGTTTCTGATATACCTGAGACTTATTTATCTCTATTATCTATCCCCCCTTCGTTCTGCTGTTTAAGCATTGGACAAGCGTATTTATTTATTTCCCAACATCTCCTTACAATCTTATACGTCGTAATCATGTGTACCAAATTCCTCCTCCTTTCCTATTTGATAAAGTTCAGATCCATGTTTCCTCGTAACTTAGGCCTCTTAGCTCAGTAATGAACCTTGTTGCATATCCTTGCATATCAGAGAATGTCCCTCACATATGGATGGTCAGTGTGAAGTTATGAGAAGAACGGGGTGGTTAGGCAACAGGATGAGGTACGGAGGGAACAGGATGAGGTGGGGAGGCAACAGGATGAGGTGGGAGGCCACAGGATGAGGTGGGAGGCAACAGAATGAGGTACGGAGGCAAAAGGATGAGGTGGAAACCAACAGGATGAGGTGGAAACCAACAGGATGAGGTGGGGAGGCAACAGGATGAGGTGGAAACCAACAGGATGAGGTGGAAACCAACAGGATGAGGTGGAAACCAACAGGATGAGGTGGAAACCAACAGGATGAGGTGGGGAGGCAACAGGATGAGGTGGAAACCAACAGGAGTAGGTGGGAGGCAACGGGAAGTAAGGGAATCGAAGGGCTGCTACAAGGGACAAGGAGAAGATTAGTTGAAAGTAAAAATAGTGGAGTTAAGAGAAGGGCTTGAATTAGAGAGAGAGAGAGAGAGAGAGAGTAGGAGTGAAGGGAGAGTGAACAGGACAAGAACAACACACTGTAATTGAATCTTGGAGTCAGGGAAGTAGAGCAGTCAGAGCTGGAGAGAAAGGAGCAGTAGGAGGTGAGTTAGGGAGGAAAAGGGAAGGGGAAAGAGAGGGGGAAACTGGGGGAGGAGAAGTAGGGGAAATAAGGAAAAAGAAGAGAAGGGGTGGGGTGGGAAGCACAAGTGTGGGAGGAACTAGTGTGGGAGGAACAGATGTGGAACAGGTGGGGAATGAACTTGTGTGGGAGGAAGAGATGTGGGAGGAACAGGTGTGGGAGAAGCAGGTGTAGTGAGGAACAGATGTAATAGGAACAAATGTGGAAAAAACAGACGTGGAAAAGAAAAAAATATACAACTGTGTCACAAATGCCAAAAAATCAATCTTCCTTCATATGAATACCATCCATTTCATCAAGGAAAGTATTCATCAAGATATTGATTAGGTATATTTCATCAAGGTATTGAGTTTTAAAAGCAACAATCAATATATCAAATGCTTACATTAGATTTTGTAAATTGCGTCAGTATATTTTAATTTCCTTTTTACTGGTCTAGTGATGTGAAACATTTCTCACCCTTCACGATAGGGTCGAACTGGATTACTGCTCCCCTTGATAATTGCCTAACCTCATACCATTTCATATTATATATGTTGGTAAACGTTTCCTTGAATCTGAATTTATTTATTTTCTGTCATTATTAAATATGTCCTCTATATATATTTTTACTATATATCTTTAGGGTGTTTACGTTTAGCCTTCTCATTTCATATTTTAATTGTATTGTTTATTGTATTTAATTGAATATTTTTAATTGTTAAGAAAGCTGCAGTGTTTATACACAGGTCTGACTGGTGACTATGTTCTGCAATACAACCTAACAAATCCAATTCCTATAGTTTGTTTAACTCTCTTTAACAATCTCTAAGGAGATAACAACTCTCAAACAATTTCTACGTTGTTAACAACTCTCCCAAATAATCTCTAAAGTGTTACTAACTCTCCCAAACAATCTCTAAGGTGTTAACAATTCTCCAAGCAATCTCTATGGTGATAACAACTCTCCTGAACACTCTCTAAAGTGATAGCTACTCTCTCTCTCTCTCTTTCTCTCTCTCTCTCTCTCTCTCTCTCTCTCCTCTCTCTCTCTCTCTCTCTCTCTCTCTCTCTCTCTCTCTCTCTCTCTCTCTCTCTCTCTCTCTCTCTCTCTCTCTCTCTCTCTCTCTCTCTCTCTCTCTCTCTCTCTCTCTCTCTCTCTCTCTCTCTCTCTCTCTCTCTCTCTCTCTCTCTCTCTCTCTCTCTCTCTCTCTCTCCCTCTCCCTCTCCCTCTCTCTCTCTCTCTCTCTCTCTCTCTCTCTCTCTCTCTCTCTCTCTCTCTCTCTCTCTCTCTCTCTCTCTCTCTCTCACTCTCTCTCTCTCTTTCCTCTCTCTCTCTCTCTCTCCCTCTCTCTCTCTCTCTCTCCCTCTCTCTCTCTCTCTCTAACAACCTCAAGGGCTTTTAATGATTTCACCAGCACATTCCTTATCTACCCAAGCTGTGCTGATACTGTCCCGGCCCACATTCTCACCTCTATCTCCTGATAGTTCAAGGCCTGGGTTCCAGCAGGAACCCCCCACACTGGACGTGATATAGCTGACTTATCAGCTGTTGAAGGATTGGTCGCCCATCTCCTGCTAACATCTCGTACCACATATATTTGGGGGACAACTGACAGCACAATACCATTATCAGTGCTCCAGGTGCTGACATTTGATACAAGAGGGACGGTAGTGTAGAATTCCTATTTTGTTTTCATAATATGTGTTGATTTGATAATGATTTTTCCTTTTGTTGTGATTTTGTTTTAATGGCCCAGAAGCAAGTGTTTAAATATACTGACTCCATGATTTCGTGTTTTAAATTGTCTTTGACAACATATTTGTATACTTAATTTCATTTGTTTGTGGCTTTTTCGATGAGATTCATGGTAATATATCTTTGACTTGTTTGTGTATCTCACCTTGGATATTGATTGGCTAATTAATGCTCTTAAAAATTGGCATGTCGTTATCATGTCTCCTCTCTCTTGTTTATTTTTTAGATTACAGTGAGGTCCAGGCCGGAGCTGCAGCCACAAGATAGATTCTCACAGGTATTATCACGTGATGAAGAAAGCCAGCTGGATGATAGTTGGTTTGGCATATGCTGGCGTTAGGGTGGCCAAGTTGCTTAAACAAAAGACTTTTTTTCGATGTTTAAAGTTGCTTCCATTATTTTGTTCTGTATTTGGTGTCTTCTCCCTCCTGTTTGTAATTTCGTGATCTTGTCTTCATGAAGGATTAAAGTCTATAAGTCATATGAGACAGTGAAACAGTCTCCGTGGTGCAGTGGTAAGACACTCGTCTGGCGTTCCGCGAGAGCTATGTCATGGGTTCGTATCCTGGCCGGGGAGGATTTACTGGGCGCAAATCCTTAACTGTAGCCTCTGTTTAACTCAACAGTAAAATGGGTACTTGGTTGTAACAACGATTCTTCGCAGCTGGGATCGTATTCCAGGGACCTGCCCGAAACGCTACGCGTACTAGTGGCTGTACAAGAATGTAACAACTCTTGTATATATCTAAAAAAAAAAAACGATTTTGGAGCACGTGTATGTAATATTAAGGTTTTGTAATGTTTAACATCCTCATCAGTTTAGATTCTTTTAATGTAATTTTGTAATCAATCTGGAATGAAATGAAGGAATATATTACGTTTATTAGGAATATTATAAGTAAAGCCTTGAACCTATCTCCTCACCCCTCGCACTGTGACCCTCTCCTTCCTGTGACCATGAAGGCCGACCAGGGCCACCAAGAATGTCGGCCAGGGCCACCAAGAATGTCGGCCAGGGCCACCAAGAGGGTCGGCCAGGACCACCAAGAGGGCCGGCCAGGACCACCAAGAATGTCGACCAGGGCCACCAAGAGGGCCGGCCAGGGCCACAAAGAGGGCCGGCCAGGGCCACCAAGAATGTCGACCGGAGCCACCAAGAAGGCCGACCAGGGCCACCAAGAGGGCCGACAAGGGCCACCAAGAATGTCGACCAGGGCCACCAAGAGGGCCGACCAGGGCCACCAAGAGGGCCGACCAGGGCCACCAAGAGGGCCGACCAGGGCCACCAAGAGGGCCGACCAGGGCCACCAAGAGGGCCGACCAGAGCCACCAAGAGGGCCGCCCAGGGGCCACCAAGAGGGCCGCCCAGGGGCCACCAATAGGGCCGCCCAGGGGCCACCAAAAGGGCCGACCAGGGCCAACAAGAGGGTCGACCAGGGCCACCAAGAGGGCCGACCAGGGGCCACAACCTTCCCGCCAACTCATTACACTCCGCCACGATATTAATCTCTCCCAAGGAATTGTTTGCCTCCGGATCTCACCTGATTTATGCAAACAGTTTTGATTGTTGCCGTGATGTATTGCGCCGGGTGGCGGGAATTCTGATGCTTATCGGCTGCCAAGGAGGCAGGGCAAGGATTAGGTACAGCTGGGAAATTCTAATTCAAAATTTGTGTTAATAAATGTTGGTATATACAAAGTTAGATTAGTTTGCACAAATTTACAGTAGACTATTTACCTAAGTGAAAGCCACAATGATATCTTAACAAGTAATATATATTTTTATATACTGTATGACCGACATTTAGACTATATATATATATATATAGTATATATATATATATATATATATATATATATATATATATATATATATATATATATATATATATATATATATATATATATATATGTATACTAGCAGTACCCGGCCACGCGTTGCTGTGGCTCAGCAACGCATGTGTGTTGCTGAGTCACAGCAACCTTCCCTGTCCCTCAGTCCTGCCCACCATTCCCCCCACACCCGTCTCCTCGGCCTCCCAACCATTCCCCACTCCACCATCCCCTCTTCCTTCCTACCATGCCCCCACTCTCCCATCCCCTCGTCCTCACCATCCCAAACTCCCCCGTCCCCCTCGTCATCCCCAACATTCCCCAATCCCTCGTCCGATGCTTTCCCAAATGGTCTGATGTTCCCATCAGAAAACTGGGAACATCAAGTGATTTGATGTTCCTATCAATGAAATATTAGAAAAACAGTTAAAAATGAAATGAAAATATGAAAAAATTAAAAAAATTAACTATTCCCACAAAATGAACAGTATGGTAAACAACACAGCTCAATTCTAATGCAATTCACACAAAATAATTAAATCAAAATGAAAATAAATAGAAATTCATGAAAATTAAATTTATCAATGCAATCAGAAACATTGAAATGGAATTGTAACATATTTAGTATAGCATGTGTGTTGCTCTTACATGCAACAGACGGCGCTGTTTTTCAAGAAAAGCATAGTTTTACCTGTCACAGGTGTGGCATCTATACTTATTCTTACGAAATTAACGGTATGGTAAAAAACACAGCACAATGTCACACAAAATGATTAATTTAAAAAAAAATCGAAATCTATGAAAATAAAATTTATCAATGCAATTGGAACCATTGAAATGGATGTCGTGATATATTTAGTATAGCGTGCATGTTGCTATTATGTGCAACAGATGGCGCTGATTTTCAAAAACGCATGTTTTTACCTGTTGCAGGGTGGCATCTAAATGCTAGGTATATAAAAAACGCGCCTATTCGAATGCAACGTTGTGTCAAAATTTCAAAGCAATCAGTAAAGAGGTTTCGAAGATTTCCCTCACATGAAAAAAAAACATGAACAACACAAATTTTCAGAAAAAGCATGTTTTTTGACCTTCACAGATGTGACATCTATATAGTATGTATAAAAAAAACCTGGCCGGATGCAAATGGAACGCTGTGTGAAAATATCAAAGCAATCAGTGAAGAACTTTCTGAGATTAGCGATTTTGAAAAATCGAACATTTCCATTTTTATTTATATAGATGAAGGCCTTGGGAAGGTCACTAGTAAACTTAAATAAGTTAAAGTAAAGGCTACCTTTCGCATAGAACAGGATTTTTATTGGGTAGTTCCTGGAAGTAGCGAAAGAAAGTTGGCCCCAGGATACAAATCTTACTTCAAGCAGATATCTTGAGGGTGACTATAGTAGTTAATATTGATTGAACCAGTGACACAGACTTGGGTCGATGCTTCTGTTAGATGAATGATGTAATCTCCCGTCTGACATAACATAACCACCACCACTAAAACCACCACTTTCAACACCACCACTACAATCATCCACACCACTACCACCACCAACACCACCACAACAACCACCACAACCACCACGACCCCCGTCTCCAGAACCACCACATCTCATCACAACAATCAGCGCATCATTGCACCCCAACATTTGTATGCTCCAGACAGCTTATTGCCCAAGTTCAGACTTAACACTCATACATCCCAAGTCTCGTTGCCTCAGCCGTTAACTCTGCAGTGATTTGTACTCACGGGAAATCTGGGAGAACACCTCTGCATAATTCATGTAGAACCAGCAGACTTTGGGACACCAAGCCTGCAGACTTTGCGCATTATTGTTGCCATTTATTTATTAAAGTCTTAATTAATTAAAAATTTATTTTTTTATTGGATAATTGTTTTAAGGATAAGAATATGTGTGTTTTAGACAATTATTACGTCGAGCACAACAGCTTCGCATATCGCAACACAGGGGACTGGCACCTAAAGGACTCAAACCAAGTACTTCCTCTGACTTCCAGAGTGTCACCCGATATTCTGGCACAGAAGCATTAGGTCAGGTTATCTTGAGGTTATCCTGAGATAATTTCGGGGCTTAGGGTCTCCGCGGCCCGGTCCTCGACCAGGCCACTTTTTGTTACACATCCCCAGGAAGCAGCCCGTAGCAGCTGTCTAACTTCCAGGTACCTATTTACTGGTAGGTTAACAGGAGCATCACGGTGAAAGACACTCCGCCTCCACCGGGGAACGAACCCGGAACTTCACGACTACGAATCCGAAGGGCTGTCCACTCAGCTGTCAGGCCCCACGTCAATCACAAACGCTTCACAACTCTAGCTCGGTTATGTGTAGTCGACTTGAACCCTCGTGGAGGCCTATGGACGTTCGGCACCAACTCTTGGAAATTTAGTATCAGCTTGCGTTGGTAATGAGGGTAACCACAGGTCCAGAGTCTTGAAAACTGTCGCACAAGAGTGTACCGTTCGCTCCATAGACCCTTCACACCAATCAGATAAAGGTCAGATAAAAACCAATCATTTCCTCACTGGCAATTGCTGCCTCGAAGCCCTATACAACCCTCACAGGGCTTCTCAATTCTTTTTATTTCTAAGAAGATGTCCTGACTGTCATTAAGACGGTGCGCAATAACAATCAATCATCACTCGGGAGCAATATTACGGAGTTATTGGTGATTTGCAGGTGCTAAGTGGTGATAGATTATTGTGAAAAATACCACCATTTACACCAAAGTCTCCGAGGGCTGCCACATCTCAAGGTGATGGGTGAAAGTGGATTATTTTATTTAGGACCAAACTCTGATTTGATGTTATAGGACGACAGTCTTGTACTTTTGAGACTCTAAGTCCGAATTTGCAATGATACACGTAAATGAAATTACATAACCAACGCTAATGTGGATATATATATACATATATATATATATATATATATATATATATATATATATATATATATATATATATATATATATATATATATATATATATATATATATATATATATATATATATATATATATATATATATATATATATATATATATATATATATATATATATATTTATATATATACACGTCTTGATCCACAGCTGCTCTGTATTGCAGTCGCCCTGCTGCCCTTTCCACACTGTTCATAGGTGTATTTGCGGAGAGGCAGAGGCAGACGAATATGGATTGCGTGGCCTGCACTATGGAAAATTAGGCGGTTGGCACTCTGGGCATGACAAAGTCAATTACATCTTTAAGTGGAGCCTTGCCTTTGCCCAGTGTCCAGCAGAGAGAGAGCCCGGCAATCTATTGAAATGTAACTGCTATCTTTGCCGGCCGACCAGACGGAATCACGCTGCGCCCTTGGAAGAATGGCAGACAGTTGGCATGGGACTATACTTGCGTATTCACCCTGGCAACCGCATACATCAACCTCTCGGTCGGCCAAGCAGGAGCTGCGGCGACACACAGAGACAGACAAGTCAACCAAGAACAGGGGAATAGATCACCGATACAACTTCGTTCCAATAGGATCCGAGACCCTAGGCCCATGGGGAGAGAGTGCAAGAAGGTTTCTTAAGGATCTTGGTTCCAGGCTCATTGACACCACAAGAGACCCTAGAGCGGCAAGTTTTCTCTTCCAGCGCCTCAGTGTGGCGATCCAGAGGGGGAATGCCAGCTGCGTCTTCGGTTTCTGTCCGGCGTCAGATGAGTTCGAAGAAATCTACAGCCTCTAGGAAACAAACTTCCCCATATTAATAGAGAGCAATTGTTAGAGTGAGGGAAAATGAGATAGGTAGAAACAGAAACAAAATGGCAGAAATGAAGGGAAATAATCGTAGCAAGGAAAGAAAAGTAGAGAGAGAGAGAGAGAGAGAGAGAGAGAGAGAGAGAGAGAGAGAGAGAGAGAGAGAGAGAGAGAGAGAGAGAGAGACAGCTTAGTATTCGAGGCACCACTGGTGAACAAGAGTGGTGTGAAGGTGCCAGATACTCGCCAGGCATGCAGGGAGACCTCGAACCGACACCAATCATTTCCCCTCCTCTTGATGTATTGCTATCACATGCGCTTGTCACAACTTGTATATATATATATATATATATATATATATATATATATATATATATATATATATATATATATATATATATATATATATATATATATTTACAGTGGCTGTAAAAGAATGTAAGAACTCTTGTAAATATAAATAACAAAAAATAAAATAAATAAATAAATCCCTGCTTAGTGTGGTGTCCGCCCTTCGTTGTATCCACAACAGCTTTCGTGTTTCTCTCCGTGCACACATATTAACACACATGACCATTGGATTATTGATGGGTTAAGGTTTGTCAAACTCTGAAGAGTTATTAAAGCCTGTCAAACTCTGGAGGATTATTAAGGCCTATCAGACTCTGGAGGGTTATTAAGGCCTATCTTACTCTGGAGGGTTATTAAGGCCTGTCAGACTCTGAAGGGTTATTAAGGCCTATAAAACTCTAATGGGTTATTAAGATCTTTTAGAATCTGGAGGATTATTAAGGCCTATTACAATCTGGAGGGTTATAAAGGCCTATCAGACTCTAGAGGGTTATTAATTAAGGCCTATCAGACTCTGGAGGGTTATTAAGGCATTTCAGACCCTGGAGGGTTATTAAGGCC